AAAATGAAGCCTTCTTACCAGTTATAATGACAGCACGTCCATTGAATTCACCCATGTTTCTTCCAGTTGAGGCTTAATTACGATTTGTTTATTCATTTACGCTTTCACAAATTATCGTAAATATTGGCGAAGCTTAATCAGACATTACTCCCAGAACATTTCAATACTTAATGGGCAGTACTTTGTGAACAGCTTCAAGTAGACTAGCTTTGTTTCATTCGCAACCTTCTCAGTCACTCAATTTTACACCTATTCTCAGAATACAACTCACCAGGGAAAGGGGTTGCCGTGCGCTTCCGAAAAGATCACTCTTTAAGTTAAGCGATATACAGAGGTCCACTTTAGAACTTGGGTTCCATAATTCCGTCAGAAGTCGATAAAGCCTTGCTTCAGTCGAAGTTTCTACGGTCAGTTTACATTACTAAGTCTGTTTGTGATCATTCTATCATACAAGGACCGTTTGTCTGTTCTTCGAGTGAGCTGGATGGTGTCCCGCCTAACATAATTACCCCCACTCAATCAAGCCCGCACCATGCATTGGGCTCAGCCAACCGCTTAGCACTCATTGGGATTGGAAAGTCCGAGAAGCTTCAAAGAACACGGTGGGATGACTAGCTTCCTAGACGGTGTGATTATTGCAGATGGAAAATCTGGTTGAGCAAGTCCCGAGAAGCCTGTGATCAATAAGAGTGCAAGAGCATTAGGCAGCATTAGGTGGATGCTGAATTAGGCAGGATTAACATGTGGAACAAGGTGAAATTGGCCGGATGGTATGGTAAGAATGGAAAGGGCAACTGAGAAGCCATTGGTTGAGAATTGATAGAAGTGTACTCGTATGGTGGCCTCTATGGTGCCAGTCCTATTTGTTCAACGTCTCGAACTGGGGATGATCGGTGTTTTGGATCATGCACAGATTGGTTAGCGGTTTGCCAAACAAAGCTTGGCAAATTTTGTCGCCTGCTCAGTTCGGTCCAAATGCATGTATAGGTGCTGTTCTGAGTTCTTAAGCAATACAGGTATGACAAATGCTTGAAAACTGGTTTACTGTCGGAACTGAGGAAGCACTGACGGGAATCGTGGATTGGGAAGCACGAAATCGCATTTGAATGATAAGAAAAAAGGATTGTACGGGAATTGGTTACCTCAGAACCAACCTAACTTCGTGATAAGAAAATGCCAAACAGCACAGATAACATCGGCTTTTATTCTGCGGGCATGAGTACCCAAACTCATGTCAGAGCAACCTAGACACTACCGTGAACACTGAGGCGGAGGCGATTTGATAAACAATCGAAGAGCCAAGCCAGCTTAGCTAGATAAGTTGTTTGTGGTATTGGGTAAACAAGATAAATGACAGGGTGTAAGTAACCGGCAAATAGTAAAGAAAACAAATAAACTAGTCAAGAGGCTACAGGTGGAACGAAGCATCTTAACTATCGTTTAGATATCATTGGTCAGACTCGGCGTTATTTCCCTACTCACAGAGTACTCCTCGGGATACCGTAGCCAACCAGGTAAGTTGGACGAACCGAAATGTAGCGAAAAATATTAGTTTCAAGTTATCCACACATTTTTGCTGCAAGAGGCAGGCTAATTCAGCGTGCCCCATGATATTTTGGTCTTTTATCGTTCACTATTACGGACAACTTCTTCAGGGTACCGAAAAAACATTTATTCACAGAGAACTAGCAATAATCCATAAGCGTAGTGAGGTTACTAGTCATTTATGGAGTAAAGCTAATCATTTGCGATGCATTTGACAAAGTCGTTTCTTTTACTTCAAGCTTTGGGCGGTGCAAGACCACCGAGTATTTCAGCGAAGATCTTGAAACCATCTACGACAACCGGCATTTGCAGCGAAGATCCACCGTCAACTACCAGTTGGTGGCCAACTATGTAACTCGATTTTTGCCTAAAATATCAGATTTTAGTGTGCCTTCCAGCGCCCTGACCTGAGCTCTTCCTGGAGTAGTTCTTACGCCAATTCGATGTCGTTTCTTTTGTCGTCTTCAAGTATAGAGCTGATTAATTCATCATATGCACTGTGTCCGAATAGGTCAAGCTGACTTCTACACAGGCCGTCGACAAAAAAACGAACCATAGGAGCTACTAGTAGTGTCTACGAAAGCCAGTCACCCCTCTAGAGCTAGTCTGAAGCCAACAGTTTGATTCTATTGGTGATTTTCACCATTTAGAACTTTCGAACATTGGTTACGGTGAGCGGAAAAGTTCGAAATGAGTGGGTTCCGTTTTGTCCATACGACAGGCAGTATTTCGCCAAGAATAAACAATACATACTGCTGTTTTCAGAAACTAACTCACCGGTCGGCAAGGAACAGAATTGCCTCAGCCACTTCTTCAGCAGTTCCGGCACGTCCGCATGGAATACGTGAAGGCGAAGATGCGGTTACCTCTTCAATCTGAAACAGACGTGAGCGAGGAAGCCAGTGTACTAAACCCGACGATATAGCACCCTACCTTTCTCATGACTTCCCCAGGAATTCCTTGTCTTTGAAAGAAATTTGTTGCTATCAATCCGGGACTGAAATAAATCGTTTTCACAACTATATAATATACGGTAATAAAGATGAAAACGTTCTAAAGGAAGCTCCATCGATCAGAACCAATTATGGTCGTATTGCTCAATAAGATTCAATGTCAGTTTTGTTTACATTCATTAGTCAACCCTTCGGACATAGTTCTCAAATCCTAAGCATGTATGCACTGATTTACTGGCGCACCGCGACCGCCCGCGTCACACATAGCTTCCACACCTATTCGGAAACATCTTCTCTGACGCTCAGTCAATCTCACCGACTGTAATATGAAATGTAGTTTCGGGGTTGGATATGTCTTTTGAAAATAAAAGATAGCGAAGGGTTGATGGTGCAATGGATGGGCCCTGCTCTCAAAAGAAATGAGTGTGGGTTTGAGCTGCTATCGGTTGTGGTCGGATTCAGTTGAGGTTAGCTAAACTCCCGATTTCTCAGCTACGGGGTACACTCCATGGACCGTGTCCTGAGGGTGAAGTTGAGGGAGGTTGAGGGACGGTTGAAATAAACGAATTTGTGTGGTACTAGTACTCCAAGTATTGTAATTAATCATTACGTCACGGTCGACAGTGTAATGTCCTCAAGTTCAGGTGAGTGTGGAAGTTGGACTACGCCACGCATTCGAGCTCCTTCCAAATTACCACTATATATTGTATTATCTATACATTTTACATCAGGGCCATTTTGGATTGAAGAAAGTGCTGTTTGGACGCATTCCGAATACCCACTCAAATAATCCCATTGTTAAGTCTATCAAGCAATACAGGTGATTATTCGACGGTTTCGCTTCTTTGTTTTTTGTCAAAGTGGCTGACTTTCTTGGCCGAACCCACCTAACGCCATTCACTCTTACTCCTTTCTGAATGTAGTAAATGGCAAGATTACGTGTAAGATGGTCCTGTGCTCCTTTAGCGATACTGTAGAACGGAGAAGCTATTGACTGAAAACAATAAATATCAAAATATGCACACTCTTCTTGGCCTTATTGACAGACACTGATAAAAGAGACGATTCTGATAGAAGTGTCACTCACTGCACC